GTAGTTTTCAAGGGTAACGTTGTAGTTTCTCTCTGCTTTGTTTAGCGTCCTGCTGAAGTAAGCTATAACACGCTCTTGTCCGTCTTGCATTTGAGAGAGTACTCCTCCAATACCGACATTACTTGCATCTGTGTCCACAATGAATTTCTCTCCTGGCTGTGGGTAGGCAAGAATAGGGGCAGAACATAGGGCATCCTTTAGTGTCTGAAAAGAGGCCTCCATTTCTTGAGTCCACTGGAAGGTTTGTTTTTCTTCCGTTAGTTTCGTTAGTGGTTTCGCAATGTTGGAAAACCCTGAAATAAATCGCCTGTAATACGCGCACAGTCCCAGAAAGCGTCTAACTTTATGTTTATCCTTCTGGGTCGGCCATTCTCGCACGGCTTTCAACTTCTCCGGGTCGGTGGATATCCCTTCTCGTGATACAATATGCCCGAGGTACCTGACCTCTTCCTGCAAAAGTTGACACTTTTCCGGGTTAAGTTTCAGATGTGCTTCTCGGAATCTCTGAAACACATTACGTATGTTGAGAATGTGCTCTTGGAATGTGCGGCCTATTACGATCACGTCGTCCAAATACGCAAGGCATGAATCGTACGTGAGCCCTCGTAGGACTGTCTCCATTAGCCTCTCGAATGTTGCCGGGGCATTGCAGAGGCCAAAGGGCATGACCGTGAACTGCCATAGCCCTTGCCCTGTCGAAAACGCTGTTTCTCTTTGTCGTCTGGGTGTACATCGACTTGCCAATAGCCACTCTTTAAATCGAGAGTTGAAAACCATTTGGCTCCGGCCAGCGTGTCCAGGGTGTCGTCAATGCGGGGTAGTGGAAAGCAATCCTTTATGGTGACGTCGTTCAGCTTTCTGTAGTCCACACAGAAACGGAGCTCCCCATTCTTTTTCCTGACCAAAACAACCGGGGATGACCAAGGGCTGTCCGATTCTTCTATAACCCCCTGTCCTCTCATGTTGTCGAGCATATCCTTCACTTCCGCTTGTTTTTCCAGGGGTACTCTCCTCGGTGGCCGTCGAATTGGCCGGGCTTATCCCGTGTCTATGCGGTGATATACTCTGTTTGTCCTTCCATAATCTTCGTTGTCTTGTGCGAAGATATCGGCGTACTCGGACACGAGATTTTCTAACTCTTGAAATTCTGCGGGGCTTAGGTGTGGCTTGGCCGCTGTGGTCAGGTTCGCTAATTTCGGTGTTAGACCTGGTGCTGGTGGCTGCCCCACCTCGGGCAAGGCCACGAGTGTTACTGGCTCACAGTGCGCCAGAGGAAATCCTCTCCTGAGCTTTTGGTCCTTGTGGGTAACATTCATGACCCTCACTGGTACTGCTTGACAGTCCTGAACTAGGGTCCTGGCTACGTAGATTCCTTCAGGCGTATGGGCCTGGGGGCTTGGTTCTACTAGACCATTCTCTACTCCCAGGTGATTCTTCATTTTAGCCATCACTATTCCCTCGCTCCGTGCGGGTATCACATGGTCCTTTGCCACTACTAAGTTAGAAGGACGGGGTCCTGCCCCAGGACTCCATAACGATACTTCTTCTTCCGCCAGACATAGAGTTTGGCGCCCTATATCCACTGACGCATCATAGGCGCGCAGTATGTCTAGTCCCAGGATGAGCTCATCGGTGATATTCGCGACGAAAACCCACATTGTAATAGGTTGGCGCCCTAGGGTAAGGGTCAACAGAACTTCTTTCAGTATGGGTAGGGATCCTCCAGACACGGTCTGCAGCGTGAAATCTGGATTTGGCTGTTTTTCAGGCCATCCGGTGGCGATATCCGGTCTTACTACCGTGACGTATGCTCCAGTGTCCACTGTCACCTGGCACGGCTTATCACCGACCCATCCATGGGTGACAAGACTGGTGTTGGCTTTCTCCGTCATGTCGGTGAGTGCATAGTGTGGGGGCCTTAACGCATATGCCTGCGTTCGCCCTTCTCCGCCGGCCGTCGCTCGTTTCCCGACGGTTGGTCGTTTCTCCACCTTGTTTCCTTGTTGTTTCTGATTTCACAGGCGATTCCCGTTTATTTCTTGGAGGTCCTTCTTTTCGGTCCTGGTGCTGTCTATTGTCATCTCCTCGTTGGGTGGGGGGCGATCGGAACTTGGTGCTATCTCCGTGAGGCCTGGCTGCTACCAGCACCGGCTGCAGCTCTAACGCTTGTCGGAGGGCCTCGTTTACCGCCTTCTCCCCTCCCAGCAGCAGCTGGATCTTTATATCGGCATCTCGTATTCCGTATACGAAGGCNTCTCCGCCGGCCGTCGCTCGTTTCCCGACGGTTGGTCGTTTCTCCACCTTGTTTCCTTGTTGTTTCTGATTTCACAGGCGATTCCCGTTTATTTCTTGGAGGTCCTTCTTTTCGGTCCTGGTGCTGTCTATTGTCATCTCCTCGTTGGGTGGGGGGCGATCGGAACTTGGTGCTATCTCCGTGAGGCCTGGCTGCTACCAGCACCGGCTGCAGCTCTAACGCTTGTCGGAGGGCCTCGTTTACCGCCTTCTCCCCTCCCAGCAGCAGCTGGATCTTTATATCGGCATCTCGTATTCCGTATACGAAGGCTTTTCCTGCCTCCTTTCCTATGTGGTCAGGAGGTAGATTGGGGTAGGCACGACGGGAAAGGAGTTCAATGGCCGTGGCAAAGTCTTGCAGGGATTCTCCAGGTCCCTGCGTCCTCGTTCTTAATTGGCAGTGGTAAGCAGCTGCAAAGTTTTGGTCCCCGAAACGGTCCTCTAGAGCCTGAAGTGTTTCCTCATAAGTCGTATTTGTCGGAATGCCGGGTAGTATTTCCGCCACCCGACCCTTGAGGGCAGTAATTAGGTATGTCGATTTTTCCCGGTCCGACAATTGGTTGTGTTCTGCCACGGTATCGAATTGTCGCCGGAACACGCTCCACGTTGAATTCCCGTTGAATGTCGGTGGCTGAGCTGTGCTCATGCTGACCGTGATTCCCCGCTCGGTCCTCGTCTGTACTACTTCCAACCGGGCCTGGAATTCGCGTTTGGTTTCCTTAATTGCTGCACAGGTTTTCGTTAGTTCTTCCTGGAGATTTCGTTTGTCGTGTTCAACGATCGCCAAAATGTTTTCAACTCTGTGTTGGATTTTATCAAATCTGACCGCATAGATCGTATTTCGGCCTTGATTTCTTTCTTGTCGGCCTTCCTATCGGCCGCCGCCTTTTATTGATTGGCGTCTAATTTGGATATTAAATCTTCTTTGTCTGTCTTCCTATTTTCTTGCATGGCCTTCATCTCTTTAAGCATATCGTCTTTATCAGTTTTCCTATCGGCGTATAATTTTGACAGCATGATTGAATTGATTGAAATTGATTGAATTCTAACTTCGCCAGGAAATCTTCTCTGTCTTTTTTTCGGTTGGCTTCCATTCTGTCTTCCTTCCGCACTAGGTCGGCATCTGCTTTCACTTGGTTTGCCCTAATCTCTTTCAGCATTTCTTCCTTCTCCGCCTTCCTTTCTTCCTTCTCGATTTTTCTATCGGCCTCTGCCTTCGCCAGCATTTCGATTATCTGCTGCATCTCCATTTTGTAGCAGTAAAATATTCGATGCACAACAATTTCTTTGTGGCGTGTTTAAGCTTGTAAACTCACTTCTGACGGTCACGTGTGTAAGTTCGATCCCACTTCTGACACCAGTGTGTCACGTTTTGGGTGTATAACGCGACAAATAAATTCACGCCGTGCTGGATCTAGCGAATTTTATTTCACATTCGCTCTTACAATCACACAAATTACAATCTGACAATTACTGCCATTGGCAGTATCACAAATACTATTCTGCAACTAACTGCCGGCTTACTCGGAACTAACCGCTGGCTAGCATGAGAACTGAGAACTGTCGTCAGCGGCTGTGTAGCTCCCTTATAATCCCTCAGCAGGGCAACAAGAAAACAACCACGTAGTAGGCATCACTGTTGCTACCGTCGTCTATCACAACCACTGTTTATCCGCGTTGCATAGTGACCAGTGTGCTGGTACTCGGCTCACTTCGGCTCCGCTCGGCAGGTCACCATGGGGAGAGTGGCGGGGTGATGACTCGCCTATTACCATAGTAACGAGAGCGCTACGTTACCGCCACGTGCCGCTGGGGAGGTAGGGGTCCTCCGTTGCACAACATGTCACACTATTATATAACTACCACCCAGAATTTTCCAGTTTTAGGAAATTAGGCATGACTCTGTACATGAGCTGTATACAGGATATTTCATAAAGACCTGACTGATTTCAAGTACTTATGTCTCTGAGTACAATTTATGAATAGTAAAACTTCAAACACATATTAGCTCAGAAAGATGTCAAGATTTGATTCCAAGTGCTGCAAGTTACAAATTAAAATGTTCAAGGTACAAGTTACATGTTAGCTGGGAAAGATGTCAAGATTTGATTCCAAGTGCTGCAAGTAACAAATTAAAATGTTCAAGGTACAAGTTAGAAATTATCCATCTGTGCACCTGTATGAACATAGCAAACTTCTGCAGCAAACTGGAGAAGCGCTGTCTTACCAGGATATCTGAAGAGCCCAATTACATATGACATTTGATCTATTACCACATCTAAGGTAATGTCTGAAAGATAAATGCTTGAAATCGGTTAAGTCTTTATGAAACATCTCATACTAATAAATTATGATTATACAATATAGAATCCTTCTACTTTTCCACAAATTTTAAGTAGTGTCTGAAGTGGATTAATCAAGAACAACACTAAATAATGTGTGCATTCAAATTGTTTTCATTTCATTAAGAAAATGATTGAATTTTCATGATACCAACAAGAATTCTGAAATATCACAATGTGATCCTGTCCAGACAAATGAGTGTGTAATACGTATAATGTTGAAGATTTTTATCTTCTGGCTTAACATGTCATGTAGTTCATTATGTGCCAGAAGACAGAAACCTTCATAGCCACTGTTTTAAGAACCTCAAATCCTACGCACTGTCATGTTATCTTTACTGTCAGAGTTGTTTCTTATATTTACAGCACCACTGATGTTAAACATTACAGAAGAAACCGAAGCAAGTATTAGTGATGATGAGTTCATTGTTAATTCAGCTGATTCTGATTCTACATGGGATACCTTTGAAACAAGTAAGTCAGACACTGAGATCCAAATGATTACAGGACTTATGTAAATAATCCTCAAAATCTGTATGACTGGACATTCTCAATACATTTAAAACATAAGTTGTAAGCTCTATAGTTCTCTTTGATCAGATTGTATTTAACTGTTTGAAATTTCAGATATTTTTAAATAAAATAAAACTCTGTCAGTGAAGTACTTAGAAAAAAATATAAAGATGTTCTCTCTCTTTTTTTAAACTATTTTACAACTCTGTCAACATCTATACTACATAGCATCAAATGGTAGGATGACTGATGAATTGGAAAGTGTTTGGAAGGAAGTGGTCATGGCCAAATTGAGGTACAAAATTTGCCTGGATTGACTGAGGAAAAGCATGGAAAAATTAAATGTGAACAGCCAGATTCCCAGCTTAAATTTTAACCAAGAACATTCTAAACATGAGTCTAGAACGTTACAACTATTCCAGCTCATTAGAAAGATGTTCGTAAATGTGACACTTAAGAAACATGTAGAAAACCTCAGAGTGAAGGTCAGTCTTGTATTCATGTTGGCAAGTTGCTGTTAGATTTCATTAGTTATGCCATATTACAGTTTATAGGAACATTTACTGTGAAACTGGAAGGAGTATAAATATTACCATGTAAACTGCATATGAAGTTAAAGAAATTTACGTAAACCACAATTTAAAACTGCATATTGTGTTTCTTAAGGTGAGCATCAATTTAGGAAAATGAGCAGGAAATATTCCTTGGTCCTTCTCAGCTCTTAAACGCATCTATTTATTTTTATGGACGAAATAATACCCATAGAAATATCCTGGTTTGTTTCTGTTAGTTATACATATACATAATGTTTGATTTTATTCAAATAACACAAGAGATTTAAGGATTATTCGTTGGAGATGAAGGAAAAAATATGAAAATGACTTATGTGACTCCATTTTATTTCAACTGTAATTAAGTGTCTAATTAAATAAAATGTCCAAAGAAATTCTGAAACGTTCTAACAGTGATGAATTATACTAAGCACCACTAGCTTTTTGAATTTTGTCCATTGTCAGGTATTCTAAATCAGAACACAACATTTTGGAAGCAGCTCCAGCTCCCAAAAATTGATATCTGATTCAGAATGTCTGATAACAAACAAAGTCCAAAAAGTTTATAGGGTTAAGTAAAATGTTCAAACATTATAATTTTCAGATAGCAGACATGACATACTGTGTGTTACCTGTGTCTGTTCTGTTATAGCCATACTGATATTGTATTATCCCTCATTTAGTATGATTTTTATTATATAACAAACAAATACAAACAAATTTGTGTAATAATAAAAGCTACTTCTTAAGAACATGCTATTCAGATTCAATTCGTATTTTTTCTTGTGCAGTTGCTGCGCCCAAAGATGGTCAAGGATATGTAGAAGTGGTCATTGGAGGTCTGACAGCCATCATGTTACTTCTACTGATTGTTTTTGTGGTGATCCTTGTTCTGAGTAAACGTCAAAAGCTGCAGGGCTCTCCTACCATCCTCAGGAATCCATTCGGTGTTACTATAAATATGAAGGTACTGTTAGCACTTTACTCATTTTTTTTATTACTAGCAGGGTGGGACTAAGTCCCTTGTACTGCGGCCACTTTTGGCCTATTGTACCAGCCCCAGATGATAGGTGAGGGCGATTGTGGAGCAATTGGTGGAATGAAGATTGGCAGGGGAAACCGAAGTACTCGGAAAAAACCTACCCCAGCGCCACTTTGTCCACCACAAATCCCACTTGACCAGACCCGGGATCGAACCCGGGCCGCCGCGGTGGGAAGCCAGCGACTAACCGTTTGAGCTATGGTGCAACCTTAGAACTTTACTCATAAATTAGATAAAACATATTTCTTTTTATTTGTTCATTTAGGACTCACGAGAAGATTTATGTACTGCAAGTATGAGATTACATTTACAGTGGAACCTCACTTAACGAGCATAATTCGTTCCAGAATCTTACTCGTAATGCGAAACACTTGTTAAGGGAAACAATTTTTTCCATATAAATTAATGTAAAATACGATAATGCGTTCCATGCCGAAAAAAATACTCAAAAAATGTTATGTATAACGTTTATTCAAAGAAAATTATATATACATTGTTAAGGAGCGTGAATCATCTTCATCTTTTCTTCTGTGCGGAATGAACCAACCTGGAANGTGAATTCGATATGCAGAAAACAAAAACAAAAACAAAAACAAAAAAAATTGGAAATAATTAGTTTATTATTTATGATGCATATCTAATTCTTTTTTACTAGAAAGCTGTCTAGAGACATTTGTTTTTGCTGACGCCTCAAAATTTGGTGAAAATGCGACAGAGCATTATCGTTAAATAAATTTGTAGCGTGCATAGCCACTGCCTTATTAGGGTGATGCTTCTCAATGTACGATGCAACAGTTTCCCATGCTTTCAGCATTTCTCTTATTGCGCCAGAAGAGTGTTGCTTTGCTGTTACCTCCTCCTCCTCCTCCTCTGACAAACTGTCCTCCACAACTTCTTGCTGTGAAACACAATGAGACTCCAAATCGTGCAAATCGTTGATGCAGACCAATTGTATGTGCGTGCTAGATCAGCCACGCTCACACCTTTTTCTCGCTTTTCAATGAATTTACGTTTCATTTCTACGGTTACTTTTATTCTCTTATGGCTGTCTTTTTGCGGTTTTATCTTCGGGGACATTTTTGCAAGGGTTATTAAATTTTGTACAAAAAAATCACAAATAATATATCTGAACACAAGTTTGGAAAAATGTGTGATCACAAGTGACACTAAGATGTTAGCAGAACGAGTGCCAAACACAGCCTGATGTAACAAGCGCACAATCCGGGACTTCCCCTCTCGTCACTCATTATGCAAAACGTTCGTTAAGCAAGTCAATTCTTTACAATTTGTTTTGCTCGTTATGCGAATTACTCGTTATGAGAGGTGCTCGTTAAGCGTATTCTTGTGGTATCTGGTACCTCTTTATTTTGTGCAATTCTAGAAACTCCTCATTCTCAAAATACCATTAAATTTGTGCATAAATTTGAAGGAATGAACGCGTAAAGGAGACATTGTCCTAAATCTCCATCCTCTGTTCTCTCCTTTACTGCATAATGAAGTGCATGCTCTATTACAGAACTCAACAACAAGTGTTAGAATTGGATGCATTTCTAGCAAAGAATACATGTCATTTTCAAGGACAAGAATGTTGTTTGTTTGAGTGTTAGGAATTATAAGGGAAAATCTTGTACAATTGCCGATCATGAAAATAATGATTTATATGGAAGTACATGGTCTGACAATAAAGTTCGCGAACTCATCGCGGTAAAAATCCTACCTTTTCATTGCTGAGAACAATTTTGGAACTGGTTTTGTGGAATGGCCTTTAGAGCTGCTGTCATATTACTCCTGATGTCAGCATTGTCATCAGTGTCATTAAAATGACTTCCTTTCAATATTTCCTTTATCTTCAGGAACTTACTTATGTACTTACTAACTTACTTACTTACTTACTTACTTACTCATGGAGCTGAGCCTTTCTGGAGTAGCCGCCAATTCAGCAGCTACTCAAGAATTTCCCAGCATTTTATGGAACTCGAAGGTTCATCACCATGTTCACAAGAGCCCACAAGTACAAGTTATGAAGCTCCTCATTATGCAGTTTTCTCCAACCTCCTGTCACTTCATCTATCTTCTGTCCAAATATTCTACTCAACACCCTGTTCTCAAACACCCTCAGTCTATGTTCCTCCCTTAATGTCAGAGACCAAGTTTCACACCCATAGAGAACCACAGGCAAAATTATAATTTTGTATATTCTAATTTTTATATTTTCTGACAGCAGATGAGAAGACAAAAGGTTCTGGACTGAATGGTAACAAGCATTATCCGAGTTCAATCTCCTCTTAATTTCCTCCTGAATCAGATTTTGATCTGTTATCATTGTTCCCAAATATCTGAACTGTGCCACATTTTCAAAACATCTGTTTCCTATGAAGAATGCAGTCTTCTGGGATTTGTACAGTGTGTATATGTGGTGTTAACCGACGTTTCGGAGGAACGTATCGCCTCCATCTTCAGGGTAGAAGAAAAAATATAAGAAATCAGCAAGCGAAGAGACCGTGAGAACCGGTAAAAGCAAACTGTCTGCTTTTACCGGTTCTCACAGTCTCTTCACTTGCAGATTTCTTATATTTTTTCTTCTACCCTGAATATGGAGGCGATACGTTCCTCCGAAACGTCGGTTAACACCACATATACACGGTGCCAAATCCCAGAAGACTGCTTTCTTCATAGTCACCGCCGTGAAAGCCTCAATCTTACATCTGTTTACTATCTTTATATCATGATTTTGTCGTTCATTTTGGTGACGAGACAGTAACATATATTTAGTTTTCTCTGTGTTTACTTCTAGACCAACCTCTTTACTTGCGTCAGTTAAAGTTTGTGTGTTTCAGAGAAAAGATCAATGGGGACTAGATCCAGTGAATAGGGAGGGTGTTCCAGCACAGTTATTTGTTTACCAGCTAAAAACTCCCTCACAGACAGTGCCATATGAGCAGGTCCTTTGGGACCATTTTTGCACACACCATCATCATGTCAAGATCTTCAGTTGAGATTTTCCTAACTGCTTCTCTGTCGATGTTCGCTTGCTCTGCTATGCCCCTGACATTCAGCCAATGATTTTCACGTACATTTTATTGAACTTTTTAATGTTTTCTTCAGTTCTGCTCATTGCTGGCTGTCCTGATCTCACTTTTCAGTGACACTTTCTCTTCCCTCAGAAAAAAGTGTCACCTACTTGTAAAGTGCTGTTTTTTTCATAGCATTATCCCCATAAACTCGCACTAACATCTCTCTGATTTCGCTTCCACTCTTGCTAAGTTTAACAAGAACATCCAACATTCTTGCAGTGGCACACCAAAACACGCCACTCAGAAAGAGATTGCCACAGATCAACAACAATATAGCTGTGAAATGCTGATATGCAAATGTCATCAAGCGATACTGAGGTTTCAGTCCATTGCAGCCATGGTAAGCACATGGTGGCAAGTTCGTGAACTTTATTGTCAGACTTCATACGTAAAAGTTCCATCACACAACTTATATTCTCTTCCAAGTATTTACACCTTGGGTGTTACGTTTCAGCATGTTTTACATTTTCAGGTTTAACTATATACATGTACAACATGTATATAATTTCGCCTAATGGATCCATTGACATACAAATTACATGCTAAGTTTCCAAATTATACCTATATATAAAAATCAGTAAATTATTGATTAAATTGGTACACAGTATTAGAGTATGTACAGATCATTCAGTATAGAGGACCATGGATGTTACTGTTGATTAAACAATTCTCAACATTAATTGTATTTCTTGGGTTCACTGCTAAAAGCTTTTTGTTAATATGCGCCTTGATTGTCTTTTGTGCATAACAATTTATGCTGGCTGAATTGTGGGTATGTGTCATATACCGCTTCTCAGTGTGATATTGCCTACAATCTGCCCACTATCAATTCTTATTTATCCACACAACAGGATGCAGTACTGTACCATTAATGTACACAGTGGAGCCAGAGTTCAATAGGTTGCTTTTGGAGGACAGTCATAAAAAGTCCAAATATTCTTCTATGGAAAAGTAATTCCATCTCAGTTTGGGAAGTTGGATTTTAGTAAATAAGATATTTTAAGAAGATTGCTGTCTTCTGGTTGCAATATGGTCTACATGATGTCACATCCTGAAATACAGTAATTTTTGTAGTCATCACTATGAGAACCCCAAACCTCACAAATGAAGCCAGCAGTCAGAGATCTAGCTGTGCTAAGAGACAGAAAATATTTAATTTACTTTGACAATAAAGTTTGTGCTGCTTGGGGATCAGTGGCAAGTGAAGAAAATGAACACTTGGTTGAGCACAATACACAAACAGCTGTTTGAGAGTTAATGACAGGAAGTAATCTGGGTTAGTATTGTGGCATTGTTATTGTAAATATATGTGATGAAAATGGAGATGAAGGAGAGAGCGAAGAAATAGTGTTTATGGTGAATTCGTTCAATTATTTAATTGATTTTATATTTAATGCATGGAAAATCTTTTAGAAAATGTTCAGACATTTTCAAAACAACAATGTTGGTTGTGGTTTTGCATTAGATTTTTAATGACAATTAATAGTAACACAGTTATTGCCATGACTCCATTCTGGGTCAGGAATCTTTCCACAAGTAAATTATATATTTACTACATTCAAAATAAAAATGGAAGAGAACAAGTGAAAGATAAGCATCAGTCACTTTATATCTATACTCTTTCAAGCTTGAACAGACTAGTCTTAAAGTTTCTCTGCATTTGAGTGACATCTATACGGAGAAAATTACATTTACATACACAATTCCAACAACCCATCATTTCAAGGGATCAGCACTGGCATGAAGAAAACTACAACCCATCAGGTAATGGGACTGGCAATGAATATGTTATCAAAGGTATAATTACCCTTTTAACAAAATTTTCAGCAAGTAATGTAGAAATAATAATAATAGCAAAAGTCAGCATGTTTGTTATTGGAGTCAAGAAGCATATCATGATAATTAGTGATGTGGACACATGTTTTAATAATGTAAGCTATTAGTTTTTAATTCGTAATCTCTTACAAAAAATTTTGCAGAAAATTATATAATTTCATCATAATTATTAATCATCATTGCCCATTTTGACTCAAATTCATGCCATCTTTAAAGACCACTGTTGTGTCATCCTTTCTTGGAACTAAATTGAACACAGCTTGAGGATTGTTGTGCTGAATTCACCATTGGTAAACTGATGAATTATAACATCTTCCTTAGTTCCATTTCCATGTGGTTTTCAGGACCTTCTGATGAACCTTGCACCAGTTAACAGCAATGGCATGGTACATGTGAGCAGTCACCCCACACCAGCAAGTCAGGATCCACCAAGTGATCCACCATCACTCACCTTTGAGCAATACCGCTCACCTCTGGTGAACTCATACTATGGACCTAACTACGCAACATTGCGTAGCAATACTGGTTAGTTGATAAGTATAATAAATATACCAGGCAGAAAATATAAGAATGATGCTCAATTGTTCTGTTATTATAACTAAGTAAATAATAATTGATCTTTGGAAAATGATTGTATCTAGGGATTTTAGCCTAATCTTTGTAGGATGGAATACAGGTGTACTACATGCAACTAGTTATGACAAATGTTATCACAACCAATTAACAGTTACACCATTCTAATTATGGGCAAGTTGAATACTAATAAGAATTGTATACAATGCTTAAACCTCAGAAGAGAAGTAAGAAGACTACATCATGAACTTAGTTCAGCTAACGAGATAATAAAATTATTAAAGAAGGATATGGATCTGATACAGCGAGATGCTAACATGAGTATGACTCAAGATCTTACGAATCTGCTCAGCATAATATCAATGTGAAAATAAGAAGTAATGAATGACAGATAGTAAAAGACAACAAGAAATGGAAAAATAACACAAGGAATGATGCAGGTAAACCAAAACAAATACCTGTACCAACAACTGTAAACCAATTTGCAACACTCAGTGAAATAACCAGCAACTGTGATCGACAGAAGCAGTTAGAAGGAATAAATAAAACACATAGCTAGAAATAAAAATGAAGTAGGGAAAAATAAAATCATACTAATGTGGATAGTAACATAAAAGGATATGCATCTGAATTATAGAACCAAGTGGACAGGAAATTTGAGGTTATGGGCATGGTTATGCCAGGAGCAAGATTACAAAATATTGTGCAACTGTGTAAACAGGAAGTGAAATCCCCAACTAGGGATGGTATGGTGCAAAAAATTAAAGAATAAATGGACTTAGACACTTAAAAACGTTTACAAATAGGAAAAAGAATACAAATTTTTATGTTAATTACAGCCCCTCACAGATGTGACTTAATGGACTCCTCATGTGTTAATGAAGAAATAAAAGTATTCAATAGGAAAATGCATAAAATAATGAAGTTAGAGAGTAATGTGAAAATACTTGGCATAGAATTGGATACATCATGTTATACCAGGCATGGGCTTCATCTCAATGTAATTGGGAATAATAGAGTGAAGGAGATGATGATAAACCAGATATGGGAACTCTCAACTAAGGAGAAGGGAGACGTTATTGCCCAGGGTTGGATATATAATTTGAATGAACCTTGCCAAGCACAGGGAAGAGATAATACAAGTCCAGAAGTCAAGGAATCTCAACTGAAAGATGGAAAAGAAAGAAAAGAAAAAGATCATACTGAAAGTGAGAACTTGAGTGATTGTGATTGTAACCAGACAGTGGGTGTACACAAAAATATTATAGAGGAAAGTGACATCAGAAATCAACAAACGATAATAGAAACAATCTTTGATCAGGAAAGAGAGCATAATAATAGAAGAAAAAGAAGACCACCTACCAGAAGTGAGAATTTTTTATGGGAGTAAAATCAAATAAGTCTCTTCTTAACCTTTAAGTGCCGAAGTGCCCAGTTTGTGCCAGTCATGAGTAAGGTCGTCGTGGCCAAAGTACCCAGTTGTGGCCAGTCAGGCATTTAAACTCCACTAGTGGAAGCGCGCGCACACGCCGCTAGTAGAAGCGCATGCACAGTCCTGAATATTTATTTTTAAATGTAGTAATTACCAGACCGACTTAAGTAAAACCCTAATAGAGGAATTAAAATAATACCTTACTGAACAACAGCAAATAAAAATATACGTATGAGTTATGCCAAAACTTATCCACAATCCAGTAATTTTGTTGCAGATTCTGCAGATAGGTATGTTAAAAATATAGTGTAAAATTCGATGTACATACCTTTTTTGTTGTTACCTTCTTGATGTATATATAGGTTCAAATGAAACTACAGTATTCGATTTCACTACGAACGCACACAAAAGAGATCACGCTCTGTATCTCAGCCACGATGCAGCTGTCTGTTCATTCAAATAGAAGGGGCAATAAGCTTTTGCAGCCCTAACGGAACATCTTAGCACTGAAGAGGGGACCCCTATAGCTTTCTCTTGAATAGCCATTCTTTCATTCTTCTGACCTTCAGTCAAGTATTCGAAAATCCGAAGGGTGTAAGCAGCGCTAGCAGAAGACCAAATGATTTTATTGCTTCCATCTGTTTTATGACACCAGAGACTGCTAAAATTTGTCAAGTGTTACAAACAGAAATGAAGTTATAATGCAGAACAACTCTGTGAAGAACTGGGAAACCATTTTTGCAGTACGCATCAAAATTAAAACACAAAAAATTGAAAATAGAGTACAACACTTTGTATTAAAAATTTCAAATCTTCCTTTATAATATGCGACACTATGTTCTTTTCTGAAATAAACAAAGTTATTTCCATCCATTTATCATAAAAATTGAGCTAGATAGAGCATTTTTAAACACAACGCTTAAAATTGATTAAGCGCCTAACAGGAACGGACATTTAAACGCAGCATAGCAACGGGCATTTAAACGCGCACCAGCAGCGGACATTTAAATAAACTCCGGCCAGCTCAAGCTTACCACTATTTCGAAGTCCGGCGTTTAAAGGTTAATAAGCATACTTATACCAAAGATTCTCTAATTATTGTACATCAAAATATCAGAAATCTTGGTGGCAAAATTGATGCATTGAAGTGTTCAGTTGTTAGCAATAATATAAATCCTCTGTGGGAACATCCCACATAGCATATTTATACAAGCACGCACTGCAAATTTCCGCTCCTCATTTTCGCTAACCAATCAGTGCTCTGCAAATTTCGCTCCTCTGCCAAGCACTGTATAAAAGGCGGAGCACAACACTCGCAAGTCAGTTCCACATCAGTCAGAATCAGCAAGCCAGCTATCACACTTCGCACCGAGCGATCAGTCTTCGGAGGCAACGGGCACTTCGCTGCATCAGGAACGGCTGCCTCGCCTCTCCGGCGGTCATGCCCAACTCACTGGGCAACTGGCTGCCTCAGCTCGCTGGCGGTCGTGCCTGACTCACTGGGCAACTGGCGCAGCTGCCGCCACTCCAGCGACCGCGCTCCACAAGCAGACGTCTTCCAGCAACTGCCGCACTGCGATCAAGCAACCTCCAGCAACGGCCGCACTGCAGCCAGTCAACTGATTCAGCCGCCTAAACACACTGCAACCAACACCTCTTTCTACCAGCGTGCACTGCACTACTTCACCGGCCAAACATCCCAGCAGCCAATGGTCCTTTTCAGGACCTACAAACTTTTCAAAGAAGTGGGTTGTCATTGGAGTAATGACAGATCCCTCACACCTCCATTAATATGCTTATCTGATAATCTCATGTCTGACCAGAAATTATTATACAGCAATTTCCAGAACTATGTATTGGGAACAAAGTGTGCCTGTATGACTTATCAGGGAGAAGGTGTTTGTATATACATAAGATGAGATAAAATTTACTGCTATAAATTTAGCACAGTTCTGTGATGAAAAGAACATAGAAATTTGTACACTTCAGATTTCTTTAGCTAAAACTAACATATCTGTACTATGTACATATAAGTCACCTTGTGGGAATTTTGAGTACTTTGTAAATATGTTGGATAAAGTACTCAAATTATTCTACAAACCAAAAATTGAATTTATAATATGTGGTGATTTTAATGTAAATTTTTTAGAAGAGTCAACATGTAAAACACAGCTATTAGTGCTGTTGCAATCATATAATATATTTCATACAGTACAGTACAGTTCCAAACTAGAATAACTGAGACCAAAAGCTCTGCAATTGATAATATTTTTATAGACAAGGCAAGGATAAATTCATATGAAGTAATCTCTATTAGTAATGGACTATATGATCATGATGTTCAGTGTCTGGTAATAAAAAATATCAATTTCCTGGAGAAGAAAAAGAAAACACAGGGAATCACAAGAAGATTAGTAAATGAAGACTCAATTGCTCAATTTCTTAATAAACTATCTAATGAAAAATGGGAAAATATATATAAACCTAATGATGTTAATGAAATATTCAACTCATTTTTAAATAAGTATTTAATTATCTATGAGTCATGTTTTCCAAAGCAAAATGTAACAAATAAACTCCAGGATAATGGCTGGATAACAGCTGGCATATGTACCTCCTGTAGACGGAAGGAATCTTTGTTCATTCTCTGTAGAAACAATTACAACTGTTTGTTTAAATCATACTATAAATCCTACTGCATGATATTAAGAAGAGTAATAAGAGAAGTTAAAAGGAAATATTATAAATCAGTTAATTACATTAGCCAAAAACAAAATAAGAACTACCTGGAATATTATCAGCACTGAAACAGGTAGGATTAACAATCATAACAAAGAACATCTACCTCAGACTTTTCAAAATAATAGTAAAAAAATAAATACTGAAGAAGTCGCTCATAGTTTTAATAAATATTTCACGTCAATAACAGAAAGTCTTAATATTAAGAAAACTAATATTTATACTGCAATGTCATTCCCATTCTCATATCCCGAATGGTATTCCAGATATGAATCTTAATTTAGTTACAGAAGACGGAATAATTAGTATAGTTAGAAAATTAAAATAAAAAACTCTTCAGGGTATGATGGTGTAACAAATAAAATTATAAAACTATGCAGACAACAAATTAGTAAACCTCTAACTTATGTAATTAATAAGTCATTAACCATGTGTCTATATCCAGAAAGATTGAAATATGCTATTATTAAGCCTACAGGCCAATATCTATAGTAATTGGGTTTCCAAAAGTTTATGAAACAGCAATTTTTAGAAGACTCAATGATCATATCGTAAAACATAAAATATTACTTTCAGAGCAGTATGGATTACAAAAGGGATTATCAACTGAAGATGCAATGTTTAAATTAACCAATGTAATACTTACAGCTTGAAATAGAAAACAGTATGTAACTGGTATATTTTGTGACACAGCCAAGGCCTTTGACTGCATTAATCATGATCTTCTATTAATGAAACTGCAGTACTATGGAGTGCAGGGTGTATTATTGCAATGGTTTAAATCTGACCTCCAATATAGGAGGCAAAGAGTGGAATGAAATTATATGCATGATAAATATTATTCCAACTGGGAAATTGTTGGATGTGGTGTGCCTCAGGGATCAGTGTTTGGACCCTTACTCTTTAATATGTACATAAACGATTTCCTCCTTGAAATAAGTAAAATTTTTGAAGTTATTATGTTTGCAGATGACACGAGTATTCTTTGTGCAGCTAGAGACTACTACAATTTAAAAATAAAATTGGATGTTGTTTTTAATCACATGTTTATGTGGTTTCAAAATATTCAATTAGCGTTAAATCTAGATAAAACAAAAATTATAAAATTCACCCCAACAGCAGCTATGAGCTATCCTCTATATACACTGTTTTTTTAACAAAAAGCTGAAAGCAGTAGAAACGATAAAATTTCTTGGTTTGCAGCCGGACAGTTATCTGACTTGTAAGAGACATATCGATTTTTTGCTTCACAAGTTGAGCACAGTTTGTTTTCTAATGTGAAAATTATCCTATATATTAAATATAAATAGTCTTAAAGCTATAGATTATGCATATTATCATTCATTGGTGAAATATGGAATAATATATTGGGGAAATACATCAGACAGTCATAAGGTCTTTGTTATACAAAAGAAAATATTAAGAATAATGATGGGAGTGGGCCCAACTCATACTTGTAGAGATCTATTTAAAAAGGTTGACATATTACCAATCCCATGTGTATAGTTGCTTTCATTGATGACATTTGTTGTTAATAATTTGGATAAGTTTCAAACCAATAACTCTGTATATGTGATTGGTACCAGAAGGACTGACCACCTTCACATACCTTCAACACATGTATCATCCTATCAGAGAGGGGTGTATTATTCAGGCATTAAGCTATTTAACACTCTGCTGTCAAATATCACAGTTTTAAAAAATGATAAAAAGCAATTTAGGTTTGTTTTATGAGATTATTTGCAAAGTAACATATTTTACTCTACTGATGAATTTGTCGAGTATGCAAGAGGCTCAAAAGTTAAGAGTTAATAAATGGTCTGTGTGTATTATGTATAGTTGAGACTTGCTTGTTATAAGCATAGTAGTATGTATGAGGTCTGTTTTTGGTATGAATTTTAATATTTTATAATTATAACTGTTTTAATGATACGGCTTGCCAGTGTGTGTGGAATTTGACTGTGGTTTTTTCATGACCCATGTGTGTTGTCCTGACAACTTGAGCTATCTGTGAGAGGCCTGATTATATACTTTATTGGACAAAGGACGAATGATGTGTAGTCATCATGAATTTGTAATATGTGACATGTTTTATATCCAGCCCTACAGGGTGATGATTGGATCCATGAAGTGAAAATAAATGTAAATGTATTAAATTTTAAATCAGTATTCCTGTTAATAACATTCTTGGTGCATTTTGTTTATGTCTAGAATATACACTTGTAGCAATAAACATAACTTTTATGCCATATATATTATAAGGCTGTTATTCCGTTCTCCAAACTGTGAGAGTGTGAACTGGATTAATCTGACTTGGGATATGATCCAGTGGAAGGTTCTTGTTGACAATGTAACAAACTTTTAGGTACCATAATAGGCGGAGTTAGTAGCATCTCAAGAAGGGCTGTGCTTTTTGATCAGTGGTGAGTCAGGTAAAAAATGAGCACAATATGCTTAGCAGCTACCTGCATGCCTCCTCTCAGTATCACCAGTTGTCACTTGCTTTGTGGCTTTTGCTTCATCTACAGGCTCCTGCTTTGCTTCTTGGGCTTCTTATTGGTGTTCATAGGGGATCTATGCAATGTGGGTAGGTGGGGAGCTGGCAATAGACTTCAACCCACATCAGTCATTTATGTTTTTTCCCTGAGCTAAATATAATTACAAATAATGCAATACTGAAATGAAGACATCCTGAATTAGTAATATAGGTTGTTACTTTTTCATACAGATCATGATGGTAGCATTTCAATGCCAGAAGAAACAGAACGACAAGAAAGTGATGACACGATGACAAAAACCCCTACCCCACCTCCAGCAACAGGCAGTTTCTCATCATTACAATTCCGAAGTCTTCAGACAACACCAATAGTTGGACCTAGATCGCAGGTGATTAACCTCAGCAATTACTTCCCTAGAGTTGCCTCAGACCCACCGAGCAGGAAACGATACCACACTGCACCAAGGGAGAAGCACAGGGTAAGGCTACTAAGTCTTGCTGTTTCATATGTTAGTTCATTTATGCAATTGGGAATGAAAAGGCAAAGCAACCTATAGGTATAATATTTTACTTTGTCCCCTCAAAATATCTGTATGATATAAATTCAGAGAGTTCATAGTAAATGCCTGGATATTATCACAGTGTGTTCCTACAAGTATATTGCATCTGTTTCCTATCAAATAATGAACTTTGTTTTTGATCCAGAGACATTGCACATCCATTACTGCAGCTGACATAACCTGAATGGGTGATGTCCCAGAGTTACTCATAGGTGTCACTAGGCTAATAATTCACAGCACATGGGACGAATTATGGTATGAACAAAAATGTATATGTATGCTGTACTATTTCTTCATACATAGTAACAAATTTTGAAAAGACTCATGTTTATTGGCCTAACCATCTCCATGCTAATTCACAGTTGAAAGTTAAACTTCTACCGTTAAAATTTAATTCCACTTGGGGAATTATTATATGTGAGAAATCTTCTTTGTTGTCTTGTCCTGTGCAGATAGAAGTATTGTGATAATTCAATTCCAGTCCAAAGAAACAGATTTCACCGTTGCTGGGTTTCAATACAGATTTATTTGCTTGGGAGCAAAGATAACAAGACTGTAGAAGAGTACATTGCAAAACAGAAATTTGCTTGAAAATCTGAGGGATTCCTGCAGCAAACAAAATCCTGTGAATATCCTAGGCATTTTTCAAGTTGGATTCCACACTACAGATATCATTGTTACATTTGCATCCCTCTGGATTCATCATTCATAGTTATTCTGCAATATTTAATTTCATACTATATAACCTCACAGTTGACATAGCATAGAATTATCACATAAAAAATGGTGGTACAGTATCTGCATGAACCTATAGGCAAATCAGTTGTCAATGTCAGTAAATTTCCAGTTGTATTAACACTCTATGGGAAATGGTTGCATAAGCACTATCTCAGTTGTAATGAATGTCTGATTATTATTTGCATAGGTACCACCCCCAGTAGTAACATGGAACATAGCTCCCAGCATGGGCCACACGTACAAGTGCCGTGAAGCAGAACTTGTGCCAATTCCACGTTACTGTCTTCGTATGGTTGAAAAAGTCGGAACGTGCCATGCAGGAGAGGTTAGCATAAATAATATTAATATACTGCACCCCTGCATTTCAGATATTTGTGTTAGAGAATTTCACTCTTATGGAAACTTGCAAAACATGACCATACAATTTATGATGTGGAGTATACAATTTACTGAATGGAAATTCCGGATAAATGTTAAAATATGTTTAAACACAAAATGCAGAACAAAAAGAAATTCAGCTAAAACTGGGTTCCTTTATTAAGAAATTATTATTGTTACAAAATTTGGATGGCATATGTGCATGAATTGGTGAAATAGCATGATAGGCAGATGGTCACTGGCTAGCCTGCATGCATGAGTGATACAACTGGACAGCTATTTTATTTTAGATTGTGCAGTGTATTACCTTTATTCAAGTTGTCTAGAAAGAGATAAGGTATTAAGATTACAAATTTTTTAAGTTTTCTAAAGTGTATTTTTGTGCACTCTTCTGATAGACAAAGCAATCAACAACTATGGACCAAAAAAGTTCTCCTCTTATAACATGGGTGTCAATAGAAATATAATATTTGTCTCATACAATTCCATTTACAAGAACTCCATCCCTTCCACAATAAGGGAGCATACTGTGTTTAATTACTAGCATATAATTTGTAATTATCATACAGCTCAGCATTAATCAAATATTTCAATGCTACTTACTGAACAGGTAATCCTATGTGAGACAGAGGGACTGGAAGACATTGTGCCTGGTGTTGGGCGAATGGTCGCAGTACGTACATCTAATTCTAAGTCGTCAGAATCTGGAACTGAAGCACTAAGGGAAATGAGATTCCTAGCAAGTCTAAGTGACCCAAATGTAGTGCGGGTGCTGGGAGTATGCACAGCTGAGCAGCCACCCTGGACAGTTATGGAATATCCAGACATGGGTGACCTTGCTCATTACCTACAATATAGGGTGCCCATGACTGCTTCTATACGTCCCGCTGCCAACTTGCAAGCCTTGAGGTAAGGTCCATTTCTTAACTCATTTGATAACAAGCCACACAAAATGCATCTGTCATGAAGTCTAAAGCAGTGTGGGATGTCATATGAAGAGACAACCACTAGTTGAACGGTCCTATAGTATTTATTACAGTTGCACCATAATGTAATGTATTAATTAGTTTATACTGATTAAAAGTTGTGTGAATAGTTACATTATTGCAAGTAGTTAAAAGACTGATCTTTAAACTGTTATATTTTCAGAATGCACAACTTTGTTTTGAAGCTCATACAGATAACTTTTTATGACAGAATAATTTTAATTGAATGTAAATTGAGGAGGTCTCTTTTAGGTTATTGTAACAATATTTAAGATAGTACCCCATCTCTTGTATTTATTTCTTCCCTGCCTCCTCCTCATTTTCTTTTTCATTTCCTCACACTTTTGTCTTAAATACTTGTTTCCACAGAATTGATCCTGTCTGTCATTTTCATTATATATTATAATGCTGTATAAATTTATGGTGTCTTTTGGGTTATCTTTAAGTATGTAGAAGAGGACTGTCTTAATTCATCCTTCAGTTTCCAAACAAAATTTTCTGCCTTTGATGTATCCAACTAGTATGTCATTCACATACCCATTGTGTCTAAGTTATTCAGAGACAGCAAGTTATGCCAATGTTTAATATCCGTGGTCAGTACCAGTACCAAGTATCCTTCTACAAAATGGAGGTGTGTCTATTTGCTTTCGTATCACACAAATGTCCAGTACTTGATCTTTAAACAAAATTACAGGTTCATCAAATATATGCCACGTGGAATATTTATATTACAGTTCCATCAACAACACAACCACAACCTTAGAATTTTCACTTTTTACAACATATTTCGGCCCCAACCGGAACTGTAATTTAAATATTCTATGAGAATGTTGTAGAAATGCAACAGGATGCTTAAATACAATATGCCATGTGGCCAGTCTAGACACCTGCTGGTCATATTCCATGCCTGATTACTTCCAAAAAAAAAATTCTTCTCTTTTTCCCATTTACCAGTGTTGACTATAGGTCAGTCCTAAATAATTTATCTTATGTACTATTTAACTCTGTTGGCCTACAATGACAATCTTTCTTGTACTGTGTAATACTGATAACATTGATCATTCTCAATTTTAATTCTAGAATATTGAATTATGAGCATTTTTGATACTATGTATTTTCTTCATTTTATGTCCAACAGTTACGGTTGCCTTATCTTCATGGCAACACAAATTGCTTCTGGTATGAGGTATCTGGAATCAAAGAATGTTGTGCACAAAGATTTAGCTGCAAGGTGAGTCTCAAATGATACAGTTGTATTGTATTGTATTGTATTGTATTGTATTGTATTGTATTGTATTGTATTTCATCCGTTTTGCTACATAGTAACAGTTGAACACATCATTCGGTAATACAAGTTAACAAAATAAATCTACAAAGTTACAAGCATACTACCAACATTTTTTACAATCATAAGCAATATATAAATACAACATTCCACAAAATATACAAACTACTATATACAGCTCATGATTGGCTATGGCATCCAAACATGAGTACTTGCACTATCCACTTTTTTTATTAAAACTAACAAATTCATTTATTGCATAAAAAGAATGTTTCAATAAAAATTATTTAACTCCTTCTTCTTCATGCTTTCAACTTATCCGCACTACAGATATCATTACCTTAAAACATATGCAGGCAGTTTCAATATTGATCCATAAAAATATTAAAAATGTATGTGTAATTATGCTCTTGGTACAGGAACTGTCTTGTAGGACGAGGCTACCATATAAAAGTGGCAGATGTAGCAATGTGTAGTGGTCTGTACCACAAAGATTACAGCGAAATTGGTAGCCGACCACCCGCACCCATCCGATGGTTACCATGGGAAAGCATTCTGCTTGTGAGTAAAATTAGCTTTAAATGGAGTTCCAGAGCCATGCTGTGTGTCATATTAAGAAGGGTACAAATGGATAAATTAAATAAAAATGCAATATTAAGTAAATGTTTGTAATTTTGGCATATTCATAAAGTTGAAATAATGCAAATATTTTGTTCATCATGTCCGTGTGTATGCCCAGATACAAGAACCTGAGAATTCCTAAACAGATTTTCATGATATTTTAATATTGGTGAACTGACTGAAGTTTGTTCACATGTTCCAGGACTGATTAAAATTAGACAGATATGATGAACACTTCATGTGAGGATATAAGCACAGTTCTGTGCTCATTTTGATCATAACTTGTTAAACACTGGAGCAACAATTATTTTGAACAGAAATTTTGAGAAAAATGAAGCATGAAGTTTATATCCAGTACAGTTTCTCTGTAATTTGCAGCTCCAAAGACAATTAATCAGAAGTGAATGGATGCACCAGGACTGTTACGCCATGCACATATTTCCCAACTTTTTCTGTTTTACCATTAAACAAACAGAGTAGACTGTATCCTCAGAGGCAGTTAGTATAATGGTGTTTGCCCACAGGACCGATATACATGCTCTAGCAGCACATGGTCATTTGCTGTCACTCTGTGGGAGATTCTGAGTCTTGCACGAGAGAAACCATTCCAGCACCTTTCCAATGAGCAGGTGATACAGAATGCAGAGCATATGTATTATGGTGGAGAACTACAGGTAATTAGAGCATCATACAAAATGTGAATACCAAAGATATAAAAATGTATCAAGAAACATAAAGCTAGTTTTCTTCACAGGTCCTTCTGCCCAAGCCAACGCTATGCCCTGTGGAAATCTACGATTTGATGTGCGAATGTTGGAAGCGTGATGAGGGTCTGCGGCCCACGTTTAAGGAAATCTACATGTTTCTTAAACGAAAAAGCATGGGCTATCGTCCTGGAGACTGAACAAAGTGTTTTATTGCTATAAAACTACAGCCTTGATGTGTTCTTTACCTGCTCTCACAATAAAACTGCCTATGTGAAAACTATAGAAATAACAACAATGTTGTTACTTTCATTCTACTTTTAAAACTAACATAATGATCAAGTTCATATCTGATTATTCTCTGCCCGCTGTCTATGAAAGTATTTGGTTGAAACACAGAATGAAAAACTAGAATCCTGATTCTGGGCTTTAGAAATGCTGCTAGCACACTTTTTATTTGTTACATATCCATCTACTTACTATTAAATTAATGCAGATATCTAACCTCTTATCCAGTGTCCAGGAATCTGGAACTGAAACCAAGTATTATTTACACTGGGGAGTTGGTAGCAATGGCTGAGTAATTTTCTGGCTAGCTACTTCATTTGAATGACATGTAGCCCTCCTCAGTTAAAGCCTACCATTTTGTGCATACATTTGTTCTCTGCTTATTGTCAAGGACAAGCTTAAAAACCAGTAGGAAATGCATTGCCTAGTGGGAGGGCTAAAAGAAAGAATTCTGGGGTGGGTATAGAGAATAAGGAGTTAGTTACGAAATTAGAAAAAAGATGTTTCTGTGAAATGAGTAAGTGAAGAGTCTGGGGTAGGTACATCTACCACATATTATACATAAATAATGAAAATAATTTCATGCTCTGATTTCCATTCTTAATTTTGTACTTTAAGTGCTTGCTAGCTTGGCATGGGTCCTAAACTTCCAACGTAAGAGATCTGGTACTGGCAGAGAACAATTAATGACAAATAAATTAAAGAAAAAGAAGTGATCTGTAGTTAGACTGATGTACAGGAATAAGTGGAGAAAGATGAACAGAGTAAGAAATAGACTTAATCATTGTACACCAACAACATGAAGTATTCTAGGATTTTGTACATAATTCTCAGTTCTGCTTCACTTCTCCTTCAAGTACGGTGCTTCCAATAATCCTTGGATTTTGGCCCTAAATGGGAATTGTACAGGTTATAATTTCTGTTTCTAGTCATGATCTTTGGATAGACTGTGCATGCAGTTGTGTGATAAGTGTTTATTGAAATCACGACTACAACATATGTATAAAATAATCTTCGTTTCTTGCAACAGAATATTGAAGATAACTATTTATCTTCAATGTACTGTCATAAGCTTGCATTATGTAACATTAAATAATGGGCATGTAAATAGCTGCCACATTCCAGTGGGAAAAAAATTATCTTACATATGGGACCACGAAGTCTACCAAAACATGTAACTTTCGCTTTTTCCAATGCATTTTTCAGCCCTGTTCAACATACACAAACACACTTAACCCGTTGCCTCGTCTAATGCAATTGAATATAGCAAAATCAAATGCTTTCTACCATGCTTAATATATTAGAACATAATGCCTAAAAAGTATGTAACTTTTATTATCCATGAACAGGGGATTTTAAAAGCCAAGTATACAAGACTCATTGATATAGCTTAACATCAGGGGTAGAATCAGTAAGATTTGAGGTTTTCGTGGCAGTGACTTCAAAGAGTGCCATCTTCTGGGATGTGATACTAGCGTAGTCTGACAGAAGTTTACTGATGTTTCATAGGAATGTACTACCTCCATCTTTTGCGTAAATCTTGCTTGTCTGTGTGCTTTCTCAGCTTACCCTTTCAGCCTGAAGAAGGCAGTATGTTCCTCTGAAATGGTGGTAAACTTCTACCAGATTGCATGTCATACCTGTAAAGAAAAAAGTTCCTAACAGTATTAGTACTGGAGCAGCAGTCCTTAACAATATCAGCACTGGAAAAGTATTGCCTGGCCAACTGAACCACACACACACGCACTCTTACAACATTGCAGTGCACAGCCAATAATGTGATACTAAATGGTCTGTAAAATTAGGAGAGAGTAAACTTCAGCTGCAAAGATTATGACTTTGTAATAACGGTAAATTTGCCCCTCTATTTAATTAATAATATGAAATGAAGGAATGTAGGTATAGCTCCACACATATTTAACTTTGGCAATAGGAGAAGGGGAGTGGTCAGCTTCAGGCCTTCACATTTTACTCCTGAGAAAAGGATTCCCCCTGGGGCCTGTTGGATAGAATTCTGGGTACTCTTCACAGCCAGCCTGGATTTTGTGGAGAAGAGAAAAATCCCTTGCCTCTGCTGGGAATGTAACCACAATGCCCCAGTCATCTGTTGCATTCATGATAGATACTCTAACCCTTTGACTCCAAGTCCTGCTATAGAACTAACCTTCTTGAAACAAGGCTGCATGGGGTTAAATGATATTCAGAACAACAAACCACAATAATTCTCCTCGAACAGCCACAGATGTAGGCATTATGAAAGCCTATTCTTTCCACCAAACATTGATATATAACACTTGGTGATATCTATTAACAAAAATGCTCTACTAAGCAATAAACATCATTCCATTCTCTATATTTGTTGCAGTTTTAATGCAAGTATGCTAAGTTGATCTGATTAGCTCGTGGCATGGAAAGGGTTAAGATTGGTAGTGTATTAAGTTTCCTTTCTTATGTCTTTCATTGTATATGGTCAAATTTCATTTACCTAGTGATTGTATGGTTTCTTTAAGGTTAATATGATATAACACGTATTTCCCTGTATGGATGAAATTTGCATTGGTTTTAGAGTAAAGTGAGATTCTTTTGTTTAGTTGTGACTAAAAAATTAGAATCAGTCTCAAATCCTTCATCAAAGATCTGTCTCTGTTATCGCAAACAGAAACATTAGTAGGTGGTACATTCTGTACTTCTGGTGTAGTAACCTATATAAACACTGCTACTGTTCTTTGTGATAGTAACTTTGTGAAATTAATTGAAGTGAAGTAGCCTGTTACATGGCACATGCAGGACAATCATTTAGTCCAATTTAATTAATGTATCTGTAAGGTTTCCTCTTCTTCATTACCCTCTACCTCTTTTCATTAGACTGTGTGATATAAATGACAGATATACGGCGGCATGCAATGTAAGTTGTAATTTAGGAACTTAACTTGAATGAATACATGATGAAAAAGGTAACTGATCTTGCAGCAGTTCTTGGGGACAAAACTGAAAACAGTGCTAACATAACAGAATCTATGAACAAATGCTTGTAACACCAGAAGAAACTGTACATTAATTAATGTGAGATTTTCTTGGAGCTAAGCCAACAAGTTGACTGGAGTCTAAATGTGATAAATAACATATTTTTATAATATGCTACATGCCCATATGCAGGTGCACCTTTATAATGCGATAAGATATAACAGGAAATTATATGTAAAGAGTACTATGAACTTACGGTGTATTATCTGTCATCTTTAGTGCTACAATTTGAGGGAACTAGAGGTTTTATGATTGTGCTCAATTCTAGTTTAGATCTAAAGCACTTCCTATTGCTCTACATTCTTCTAGCTAACCTCTGCCTCTCAATCTACTCAGTTAGGCTTGCAGGACCGTAGACAATAACTAGTGCACTGTTGTACTGGACTCAAGAAATCAGAAAAATGGTGATGTACATGAATGGTGAATCTTTTACAATTTATGGTAAAATAAGATCATGTTATCCAAGATAATTTTTATATAAAAAGTGTGCTGTGTGTATGCAAAAATAGTGGAGTGATTCATAAGTAGTGCATAATTTGCAAAAAGAAAAAACATAAGTTAATTACATGAATGAGTACTTTCATTGTTACAGATCTTGTACAAAAGATACTTAATAGGAGCAAGGTGTAATTATGTAATGGGATAGATGGAATACAAGAAATTTTAATTTTCAACATTTTATGAGGCTTTATTATGTAAAAATATTCGGCTACAATTTTATATTATAACATATAATTTAAACAATATCTTTGTTGCATACAGTAGGCCCTCATTATACCACAGATTTGGATATACCGCAGCTTTGATCATATTCCTCAACTTGACTATAAAGTACAAGAAAAAGTAAAGCTATCCCTGTAACAGGCCGTGTAGGCCCATTGGGTTGTGAGATGTTGAGGTTCCCACATTTTCCAGACAATTGGCTCATAGATGATGGTAAGGTTGTTAGCCTTATATGCTGGACGCCCTTTACCCCCAAGAACATTCCAAAAATATTCCTAGTACTCATTTCTGTTAGAGGCTGAGTCGACCCCAGGGCCATAGTGCAACTGGATGGATTAGGTAAATTGAAAAAAACCAATGACCTCATCTGGATTCAATCTCGTGACCTTCCGGCTTGTAGCATAGTGCCTCAACCAACTACGCTATCACGTACCCCCCTTCAACTTGACTATATACGTTTTAAGTCACATAAATTTCTATGAAATATTCTTGTTACAATATAATACTATACTGCAGTATTCCTTACTGGAGTGTGTAAGTGCAGAGAGTGAAGTCCATAGACCACTGTGAATAGGCCAAATGCTTCTTGTTTCTCTAACCTTTGGACTGCTTTTTTTCAAACAACATAAGCACTGCTTTAACTTACTTGATCACAGATGGTCAGAAATACTGTCAAGCTGCTGAAGAGATAAGCTCTAAAAATTACCACTTTATACTAAATACTATATAATGGAGATTCCAAAATTATATAAATGTCAGTTTTACTTATAAGTAATAACCTTAATGTGAGTATAGGAGCTGTTCTCCAACACCCACTTTATATAGCGGGTCTACTGCATGAGCAAACAACATGAGAAAGTATAAATTATCAAGCAATTCTGGCTATGAGGAGGTGCGTAGTTGTATTACTATTCTGTGTGAGTCAATTACAGCTTCAGAAAGGACCTTTCAAAAATTGGTTATTATGTCATTGTCAAATAACAGCTGAGCTTTAGACATTTTATAGGCATGTGTAAATATCAGATTGCTAAAAATTCTCAGGCTGATTTTGAAGACTGCATTTGCAGTCCCAATCATCAAGAAATTTCAGGAACTACTTCAAAAAAAATCATAATGGTTGAGAAATGGAAGGATGAATCAATTTGTCAATAACATCAGTCTCTCTTTCTCTCTCTGTATTTTCTGCTCATGGTGAAAAAGGATATTGCTCTAGAATTTAATTATTTTTGTATACAGTGACTTATAAAAAACTTTCACCGAAAAAGGATCTGACATAAGAAGTGATAATTAGTGCACTTCAGTGCAATGTGAAGAATTGTAACTGTAACTGTAATTACAGTGAAAAAAAATTATCTACTAGAGAAATATTCTCTTTCTTGTCTTGAGTCTCAAAATTTTTCAAAATTGTCTTGATCTCATCTTGAACTGAAAATAAATATTATTGCACATGCCTAATATTTTAATAAATAAGCAGAAATATATGACACAGTTACAGAATATGAAACTAGCCTGTCAGAAGTTCAGCAACAGACATTTGAAAATTTTTATGCATATTCTAAAAGGCTTATTTTATCTGACTCATTTAGCTGTTTGTATGTGGAAGTGTACGAAGGAAATAATCAACTGCGGTAACAGGTCTGACCTATACAAAGTGTGCAAGTAAACAATTTCATTACAGTTACAGGTAAATTGTAAAGAAGCTTATGGATTTTGGTGTCTACAAGAAAATGCATTGGTACTAATTTCAGCTGAGACAAGCAATGCTGAAAATATAGTACAGTGGAACCTCACTTAACGAGCATAATTCGTTCCAGAATCTTACTCGTAATGCGACACACTCATTAAGCGAAACAAATTTTCCCATATATAATTAATGTAAAATACGATAATGCGTTCCATGCCAAAAGAAATACTCAAAAAATTTTATGTATACCGTTTATTCAAAGAAAATTATATATACATTGTTAAGGAGCGTGAATCATCATCATCTTTTATCCTATGCAGAATGAACCAACCTGGAATGCGAAATCGATTTGCAGAAAACAAAAAAAAGATCGAAATAATTAGTTTATTATTTATGATACATATCTAATTCTTTTTTACTAGAAAGCTGTCTAGAGACATTTGTTTTTGCCGACGCTTCAAAATTTGGTGAAAATGCGACACAGCATTATCATTAAATAAATTTGTAGCGCGCATAGCCACTGCCTTATTAGGGTGATGCTTCTCAATGTACGATGCAACAATTTCCCATGCTTTCAGCATTTCTTTTATTGCGCCAGAAGATTGTTGCTTTGCTGTTACCTCCTCCTCCTCCTCCTCCTCCTCCTCTGACAAACTGTCCTCCACAACTTCTTGCTGTGAAACACAATACAACTCCAAATCGTGCAAATCGTTGATGCAAACCGATTGTATGTGCATGCTAGATCAGCCACGCTCACACCTCATTCTCGCTTTTCAGTGATTTTATGTTTCATTCCTACAGTTATTTTTATTCTCTTATGGCTGTCTTTTTGCGACTTTTTCTTTGGGGACATTTTTGCAAGGGTTATTAAACTTTGCACAAAGAAAATCACAAATAATATGTCTGAACACAAGTTTGGAAAAATGTGTGATCACAAGCGACACTAAGATGTTAGCGGAACGAGTACTAAACACAGACTGATGTAGCAAGCGCACAATCTGGGACTTCCTCTCTCGTCACTCGTTATGCAAAACGTCGCTCGTTAAGCGAGTCA